AGAAAACAACTAGAGGCCGCATAAGCATCTGGAAATACGACAGAAAGCGCTTTATCAGTCGATCATGGCGGCATTAAAGAACGTGAGTGGTGCATTAACGTCTGTCAAGAATGAGATCTAACCTATCAAAAACTTCTACGCTCATTTCCCATCATTACTCCAACTGCCAAAGGAAAAACATTCCGTTCCTCATAAGCCGGCCAGCGAATGATTTAAGGAAGAGCTCCAGCTACCGACGGTCTGACAATTGAACTGACCAGACCATGTAGTCAGATACTGTGACGCGTTCCAGCGGAGATATTCAGCTGCTAAATGGACACACCAACGACATTATAAAAGTGGATGGAGTCAAAAATAATTGTGCTGTTCAAAAGGGTCGAAAAAAATGAACTGAAGAACTATCGCTCACCTGGTTGCTTTCACACGGTTACAAGCCGATCATTAAGTCATTAAAATCATCTTCAGCCTACCATCACCAAGTCTGGACATGCAGCAGCTCCTAGTTAGAAAAGACAGGATTCCGAAAACGCAACAGCACGGCAAATAGCGTCTTTATCTTAAATTAACTCATCGAGGATTATGAGGTCCATATGTGCATCACTTTCGCGATTATAAGAGAGCGATCGACGCCGTCGTGTACAATGCAATGTGGATTGCAGTGACAGGACATGGCATCGTACAACAATGCTGCTACGTCATCTGCTGTATCTGATGTCCGAAACTTTGGCTTCCCAGAATGAATTAGGCGATGTCGGTTGCTTCGTCAAAGGTAATATTCCTCGTCGCAAGCAAGACCGCCTGTAGCAGCTGCTCTAAGGTCCGATGTTAGCCTCAGACGCGTCTGCTGCCATTTTTTCTTTTCAAAGAAGAATGAATTCTGATGAGTCGCCATCTTCTCTCCGGACAGTCTGAATTCTTTACACGGTATTTTCAGGCTGGTGGCCATCAAGATATTTTCATTCTTCACCGGACGAAGCCATCGCACTTTCAGGGTGTTCCGTACACAGCGCTGCTGAAAAGCATCCAAAGACTTTCCATAGCGATTTAAAACGGTTCAAGGCTGTGCATCGAGAATGAAAACACGGCGATTTTCTGAATGATAATCTTGGTTGTTGTCAGGGTAGAGCGGTCTCGCCACATTTTAGAACGGCGGCTGAAGGACTCAGATGCCAGGCCTAAACGCCCGCTATGCTTCATATGGCAACGTTTGTCTCATGACAATACAGAGCCGAGGTATCTGAAATTTTCGACTTCCCTGATCTATTTGGCGGGGTTCACTTCTAGGCCTTTCGCAGAGGCCGCCCTATACACTAGTCGAGTTAGTTAAGTTAGTCGTCAGTTAAGTCACTGGCGGATTCGCTTAGTAGTACAAAGTCGTCAGCGTGCTCGCGATCTGTTATGAGTACTGCTTGATATTTTTGGCTGAGTAGTCGTCTGAGAGTAAATCCCTCACCGTTATTGGGGACGATGCTCCCTCTCATTACATAATCCACCGTGTTGAATAATAGGGGTGAAGAAAAGGTATCTCTCTTTGGCACAATCCGTTGTTGATGTAATGCGACAATGATTCTCCTGCTTTAATGGTGCCTTTAGTACGCTCATAGAGTCCTTTCAGCAGACCGATTACCTTTTGTGCTACTCCATTGATTCCACAAGAACCGATGGTATACCGAGTCGAAAGCTGCTCAAAAGTCGAGGAATGCCACATGGCAGAGTTGTTCGAAACTCCTTCCCTGTTTAATTATCTTTACTATGGCGATTCTATCCGTATGTGAGAGAGTCCACTTCGGAACCCTGTTTGATTTGATCGAAGCGAATCATTGACTGCATTTTTTCCGCCTTCAGAGTAGGATTTGTGCAAACACCCATTCCAGCACAGACATAAGCATAGTCCCGCGGTCGTTGGCGCAATCACAATGATTTCCACGTTTGAACATGTGAATGATCAAGCCCTATTTTGATTTTTCTTGGATTTCTGGTCTCCGCCAGATACTCTCAAAACCAAATTGATGCATTTCAACAAGATTTCGCTTTGGCGTTTCAGAATTGCCTCAAAAATCCTGTCGTTCTCACAGGAGTTCCAACTTGGGCAGAGACGCATGGCATCTCGGATTTCATCCTTTGATCGAGCGGAGCAATTAATTTTCAGTCCTTCCCGGTTTTCGAACTCTATTTCCAGGTCAACCGCTGGAATTGGTTGGAATAGGAGCTGTTCGAAGCGTTCATTTCATTTCCACCGATGGCTGTCTTGGACTTGCCGCGAATCAGACAGGTTAAAGGATCATGTTTGCCGCCATTTGTGATGATGTCGACTTGTCTGTACAACTTCTTCCAGTCCTTCTTCAAAGCCGCCTGTTGCAGGTTCTGCGCTTCGATTTCCATCCAGGGTCGTTTGTCACGGCCGTAACTCCTGTTGACTCCTTGCACGAAATGCCGACCGTTGCGCTTCTCCATCTTTTCAGAATTCTGTAGGGACTCCTGCTTCATCGCGTCACTTCTTTGGCGAAGAGTTCTGCGGAGACCCAGGGGTGCGTCGTCTCTAAGCTAGGGCCGACGTCTATTTGCTACAGCGCGACGATACTCTATTTGAGCTGTTGATGCAGCAATCGAAATCCTGGAAGCTAATTTGCCTTACAACAGCGAATGTGCTGTTGATTCCTTCTTGGAAAGATGTGCAAGTTTCTGGATCTTCTAACTTGCTGATGTCGAATCGCGTATTTGCCCCTTTCCATTGCTGTGGCCAGGTTGAAGCTGAGTTTTGCGACCCCATGAAATGGTCTGAGACAGTGTCATCTCCGCGTCGTTCTCGGGTGTGGTGAAGGGCACTTCGCCACTTCCTGTTGACCGATACGTGATCCAGCAGAGACTCGTGAAGCGTGCACCAGCTGATGGATTTGATGGACATGCCGCGGACGATGAGGTCATGCATGGAACAAAATTCTAATTGCCGTCAACCGTTGTCATTCGCCTCCCGCAGCCATGCTGGCCCACCATATGGTGTCAATTAGAATGATCGCAGACTGCCCTGAAGAACTACGTGAGACAAAAGCCGAAACCTCTATACTGGTGACCAACTTATTCGTTTCCGTTCTCTGCAAATAATCCGTTTTCACGTATTTTTTGATTATCAGCATGAACATCAACGCATGGATAAATTATTAAATCTTCGAAGCATAAGTTTTCTAATGATTCGCAGAATGTTTTTAATAAGTGCTAAGGAATATATAAATATGATATATTATAACAGTGACTCATCTATTTTTGCAATCAAATGCATAATCATTGCAGTGATAGGATGTATATCAGTGACTTAAAGCGCTATGCTGTTTTCAACCTCCGATAAATCACAGCACATATGAGTTCCATCTTCCTTCTTCTATCTGAAACATTTTCGTCCGCGGTCGTTCCGCCACTTTTCTCGGTGTTGTGTCTATTGTTCCATCTATGATGAAATATCTTCGTCATTGAGTCATCCTAGCGTGCTGGTGGACGACCGAGTCGAGGTCTGTTTCCAAAGGGGGTCCTAACAGATAACAAAGTGTGTTTACCTGTTACCGTCCACATGACTAATCCATGGACTCTTCGAGTTATAGGCGACAGTGAGCAAGTACATTCAAAAATCGCGTCCTGCACTGAACTACCGCATTGAAAGATGGTTTCTACGGAAGTCCTTGCACAGTTTTCTTTTGATTGTCCTTTGAGTTACTAAGAGCATTTTCCCTCAGCCTTTGTGATAGACCAGTACTTAGCGTCATAAATCGAGTGGGGAGGACAGTGGAATTAAAGAGTTCTTTCGTATTGGAAATGGGGCAGCGATGTTTTGATCTCATCGAAATTTGCCCATCCCACCTTCCTTTATCTGCCGATCTCGCCATTGATGTTATTACTGAAGTATATTACATGGCCGATGTACAAGTACATAGCGACTTTTGCATTTCTTGTGATACCCGCGGGGCAACGCTCGTTGGGCATCCATTTTGTCCTGGACATGTTCATTTGCAGATCAGTGGTGCGTGACTTATTAGGCAACCGCCCAACGTTTGCTTAGATTTCTGCAGCGCCTTCGGTGAAGATGCCGATGTCGTCTGCAAAGAGCAGATGGGTCAGGCGTTCTCCAATTACGTCAGTGCCGTCGCTCCAATTCAGACGGTTAAAGAAGGACACCAGCGCCGTTGCAATTAACTTGAGAGTGTTGAAGTCTGCTGCACCTACTTCTCGTTTGATGTTGATACGACACGGTTCCTCGAACGTTTTGACGTAGGCCACAATACCAGTATTCGGTTCCTCGATTAAGTCGACGTTAACAGAGGTGATGCAGAAGTCGTGCAAGACATTCGGTAAAGCATTCAAATCCATGGAATCGAATACTGCTTCGAAGTCCACGAATTAATGGATATTCCTCATTCTTTCCTAAATTCTCTGCCAATTGTTTCATGACGTGGATGTGGCCTATGGCGGCTAACTTCGTTCTTCAGTAGCCAATAGCTCCAGGTCTTCACGGATGCGATTAAGGGTGATTTGGGTAGAGATCTTGTAGACTTGTGACAAGAGAGGGATTGCCTGATTGTGCTAGAGCTCCTGAGCATCACGTTTTTGAGCAAAACAATGGCAGAAGAGCCCTTGCATGCCTCTGTCATTTTTTCAGCATGATAAGCACACCGTCAGTCATTTGGAAACGGCTTTGAACAGGATCATTTCTCCTGATTTGAAATGTTCTGGTTTTATGCCGTCTTTGCCAGGACATCTGTCATTCTTGATATTCTTGACATCCTGCTCTACTTTATTCCAGGTGACATCGCCAACAATTTCAGGGGCAACGTTCGGCAGATTCCGGTTTATTTCCACCTTCGATAAATAGAGGTTGCTGTAGAAACTCATGCAGATCTATTACATGCGACAGCGATCTGTGGTTCTTATTCCTCCATCATTCGTTATTGCTACCGGAATCGATTTCGATTTAAATGCATCGTCTTTATCACAACCTTCAAGCCATTCTTTCTTAGCTTCGTTTAAATATACTGCTCGTGATCCCGTCGAACCGTGTCCCTTATTTCCTTCAAAATACACTGTACTCGTCGTCCATTTGCCTACCAGCGTTCAGTCAGTCTCGTCTGGCCAACAGCAGCCTCGCTAAGGGGCTAGGGCATTGTTTCTTCGTCGACATTGCTGTCCGGTTGTACGACCGAATGGTAGCCTTGATGGAATCGACGAGGTGCTGGCAGGCTACGTCAGTGCTTCTGCCGAGGTTAAGTCTATCGTGAGGCAAAGCAGAAGAAGTGTTTCTGTGAAAGTTTTAGAATAGAATATTCGTCCAGTGGCAGGTGATCTTTCATATCTTATAACCCGGTATTCTTTAGCGGCATCGATTGTGACTGTAAAACAGAGCAATCTGTAGTCTGATCCCTTGAGGATGAGTTTTTCTCCAATGACATGCACATCTCTTTTTACGCGCTTTCAGCACGTAGTCGATTTCGTAAAGGGAAGTTCCATTAGGGCTCCTCAACGTCCACTGCCGCTTGACGGATTTTTCAATTATTGCTTCCATGATGTGAAGAAGGTTGGTCGCGACAGATGCTCAGAGGCGGACGTCGCGTTCATTCTGCCCTTCACTTCCTAACCGGCCGATGGAACGCCCTGTCGCCGTTGTTTCCCTCCCTACTTTGATATTAAAATTTTGCTGGACACTGATGTATGTAGACGTCATTTGTTTTGTGCTTTCCAGGTCGTCGTAGAACTGCTCCACCTTTTCATCGCCCATTTGCTGTGTTTGGTTGTAAACTTCGATTGTCGTCGGTGAATGCTTCTCGTTCACCCGCAGACTCCAGGTAAATGAGGTGAATGAGGTATCAGCTGGGTACGAGGAGAAAGCACTCTTCTTTACGACGAATCGCACATCTCCTCTCTGAGCCCAAGTTTTATACGCTTTCACAAGAAATATTGGATCGATGACGTTACACTGTGCGATAAGTTAGGTGGATCTAAATGTTTCGCGTGCATCGAGAACATCTTCTCCGATCTTCCTCGCATCAGTAATATAGCTATCTATAAGCGCATCTGATGACAGAGTACTGTTACTGCGGCTAGCCACAAAAAAGTTGGTCATACTCTTTGGCCATTTCCCAGTTGCCTGCTGAACTACATCTCATCATAAATAATCCCAGATTTTGGCAAGCCGACGCGATAACTTGCATTTATAGTCGTGGTATTTTTTCGTCCTTAAGGTAT